TCTATCAATGCATATAGAAAGGTTTTGCCAAAGTTGTAGCACTGCTTATGGGATAATTTGATGTTGTCCTTTTGAAGACCTTGATGTCAATTACTTGTTAACTACCTGAGCTTCAATCACTTCAGACAAAATTTGAAGATGGGTGCATGCCTCATGTCCTGATTTGTCGTTTACGTAAAGGGAAAGGAACTCTTGTGAAACATCTATCTTTGAAAATCGGAATAGGAAAAAATGTTCATAAATTGTTTACAAAACCAAACCAGCATATGACATTTTTCCATCCTACCTTTGAAGAGTTCAAACATCGCTGATGTCAGATTTGGTAGAGGAAGCAGGGATGTTCTCTTTCCTGTCAGTACAAAAAAGAGTTCAAATGTTGCTGCCTGCTATGCCTCTGAAGAATTTGTTTAAGGAATCTCTGTATCACAGATCTTATTCCCCTGTTCACACCAGACATTACCTAAACCAGGCTCCAATCATTCTTCTCTGCAGCTGTGGAGCAATTGTGCCATATCACACCCAAAGCCAACCAGCAGCAATGTTCTCTGTCTGCCCACAATGACCCATCACTATGCCCAGGCTGGGGCTGAAGGTTGAATGTACAGTGGCAAGAGCTGAGTCTGCAGGAGGGAGCAAATGGGTAAGGCGAGCCTATAGCATGAGAAACAAAAGAAGTATCCCCAGTGGTGGTAAAAAAACATGCCACAACTGTTCTGTCACGGGCGTCCAGTTGTTGTCCCTGTGCTGAGTGGTCCATGGCAGGTGGTAAGCAACGATGGTAGCAGTTACTAGGAGGATCCAGGTAAGGGAAAGGAAGAACAAGAGGTAATGAGTACTAGAATGCCTTGTTAAAGCTCATTGGAGAAGGAGCTGGGTGACAGTGAAATGTGGCACCTGGACAAAGGTGAGAACTGGGCCAGATCTCATGGTGAGGAAAGCAGAGAGAACAGTCTCATTCCCAGGGATTATCCAGTATCCAGAGGAGCCAGAGTCGTATAGCATTGTAAGTGATTGCAGTGTGCACATCAAAGGATATTACACTGCATGAAATTAACCTTAATTCTGCTGTTGGGTTAACTTTTGGGTGGCTCTTTGCAGTGCTCATGGTCTTCTCATATGCACTCATATGTACCTTCCACACAGAAATCAGTAAATTCCACTACAAGCTTGACCCTTTGTCTATATAGTAAACAGTGGTTGTAAACTAGGGTAAGATCAGGACCTGAGTATTTGATCATGAGTTAAGAACTAGTGGCCTCTTCCAAAACTGGAGTATTCTAATTATTAAAAACATTGGATGAGCCTGACAGTGCTGCCAGACAGTGAAAGTAATTCACCAGTGACTGGAACAAGAAAATCATTAAGATAGAGACGCATCAAAAAGCTACTTCTTGCTAACTCAGAGAAGACACAACATTTATACTACCTAGAAAATAAAGTAAAAATATATATAAGCACAGTGAGACTTTTTTTTTTTACACAAAGTAGTAGGCAAGTTAAGAGCCATCCAAAGGGAGGCACTGAATGAAGTAATATAAATATGTTTAAAAAAAATTTTTTTGAAAACATACATAGTATGTTTTAAGTTAAAGATTATGACCTTTTGACTGTATTTGCTGAATACCGACTCAAATTTGCAAATTTGCTTTTTTTTAATCTAGCTTAGAAACATAGTAATAGTTATAATTAACAGTTGCTTCAACTATGTAGCAATAGTTATATAGGCAAAATAGGAGTTGGAGGTGTTTTGCAAAAACCTGAGTGAAGCTTAGCAACAAGTACATCTTTGTATAAAAGAATTAGAATATTACTGTGCTTTTTTGTTCTATAATTGCGTATTCAAGATATAACAACATAGCAAAACACGCACAACAACCACTAAGACTAAAGAAATCACTGCTTTAAGAATTATCTAGCAGTACATTTTCTCATCAATAGATTTGCGAGAGTCTCATCAATTCCAAAATGAATGATGACTTACTATCATTGAGGATGCATACTTGGAGAAATTACAGCTTGTTCTCTATTGCTCTTTTCCAGTCTTGCAAATGAAATGTTCCTGACATAGGAAAAGGTGTCAGTTTTCACACTTCATCAGTCATGGTCAATTGCTGCAGGAGCACCACTTTTATGCTCCCAGCAGAACACTTAATTTTAAGAGCTTCCCAAAATGCACTATCTAAGGGCACTAGTAGCTTATGTAAAGCTGTATTCCAGCACAGCTCTGAAGAGACTGTATTTTCAGCTCTCTCATGGTACAAAATACACCCACTGAGGAATAATTGCATGCTTCGAGGACAGAGTAAGTTGAGTATACCAAAAAACATTAAAAGAGACACTGCAGACACTTGCTGACTCACGCGCTCAGATGAACACAAATAGATTTTTTTATCTATCATTTTGCCTTGCTTAGTCTGAGTGAATTCCTTGACTGTTTTTGAAAAACTGCCCCTACCTTTCTACCCATTTTAGTATATGTCTGTGCTGCAGATTTCATGCAGTATTGAGATACAGAGAGTTGTTTTAGATGAGTTGCTTCAATATGAAGCAGAAAGTCTGAGCAGCAGTTACACACAGACAACAGGAAACACTATGTAAAAACCTACAGAAGATCTTCTCTGCCTCCACCATCTAAACCACATACCTGCATAAGAAAGCATTCCAGGATGTCCAACATAATGCCAAAGAGAGAATGCCTCTGTCTTCTCATTTCCATTACTCCGCAAAAAAATCTGATCCTTTTGAGTGTTGTCCTGAATATGTAGCCCCATGTCCTGTAAGATTCAATACAGAAATTGTGAACTATAATATAATAAACAAGAATTTAATCACTTCAAAGTTGCATAAAGCATTCTTGCAATTATGTTCTCGATCTTTCCTTTTGGGTAAAGTCTGAACCTCCACACCATACTGCTGTGAGGGCACGGCCCTGCTGGGCTGTCCAGGGCTGTGTCTGGCCCTGGCTCACCTTGCCAGGCCTGATTCTAATCCCACTTGCTGTCCTGGTCTGTCCTCAGCCCGTCCCCATGGAGATGCCTGATGTCTTGTGCTCCCTGGCAGGGGTGCTGTGAGTCCCTGCCCTGCCTGCTCCAGTGCAGACCCCATCCCCTGCAGCATGCTGACACGTACAAGCCAACAGCATGCTTACTGCCTTTTAATATAAAAGAGTGTGGATGAAGTCAATCTGTTACAATTTACTGGTTTCTACTCTAAAAATTAAGCATGATTTCAGCCACTGTTGTTGTTTGCAAAGCATATACAAATGGCAAATCACAAACAAGCAATTGCGGAACACTGGACTGCATCAGATCAGCCTACTACAGATATCTGATAAATACACTCAGCACCAAGCAATCTCTTTGTTGTTATTTACTTCCTATACACAGGCTTTTAGGGTAAAGTTTCCTTTTATTACCTTTTTATTTTATTTTTTAAACAAGATATTGAAAAGTATCAAAACCAGTTGCTCTTTCCTCTCAAATTCCTGGTTCTTCGTATTTGGGAACAGCAATAGATACAGACATGTTAAAGGCATCCAGAGCTGTGCAGTCAGAAATATAGCACTAAAAATAGTTAATGGTTTATTATCTTCTGGAGAGAAGTTTTACTGAACCCTCTGTTAGCTGTACAACCTCTGCATCCTGGGGACAAAACAGATACAATTTGTCTGTGTTCCCCATAGGTTTGATGTTTATGAAACTTACAAACTTCAGGATGCTTGCAGACCCTTTTCCATTAGAGATGTCAGATATCAAAGGTTATCATTTAAGGTGACAATGACATGACTTTGAACTTCTGATCTCAGAAGACAAGCGCATTTTTTCATTCTTTCTGCAGACATATCTGGAGAAGACAGATAAATCTCTAATTTGAAATGTTAAGAAATACCCTCGAAAGGATGAAGTTGGCTGCAGCTATGACAGCACTTGGCTGTTTCCAAATAATTAATCTGGTGATTAAACTTCAAATGCTTGCACCAAATGCATGAAAAAGCTGTGTTAATAATTCTTCCTGATAGCACACTGCATTGTAATTACCTTTTCCGTCATCTTTAAGTTAGTTTCCTTAGGTTAGTTTGTGTGACTGTACGGAGCTACACAGCCATAAGCTTTTGTTAATGTTTTCCCCCCCCCGTAAGGCGCTTGGGTAATAAACCGAGTGCACCACAACCGAGTCTTCCACTCCCGTACTACTTTGTTCTCTCCTGTATTTAACGATCAGCATTTCTTCAGTGTATTTTTTTATTTTCTTCCAGGGTTACGCATTCTGTGGCCTTTCCCGACGGAAAACAAAACAAAGCTGAAGGGCATGAGAGAAAAAAAAAGTCAGGTGGGGTTTTCACCTGCCCCTCACTCAGCATTTCCCCGCCTTGAGTGTGGCAAATGCCGCAGCAGCCTTGTCAGAAACTCTCTTCTTTTTCACCGCGGAGTTACCAGCATGACCCAGAGCCTTGTAAGAGCCACCAGAGCTCAGGAGCTGCCTCACGCCCCCCTGCCCGACCCCCTGGGGCAGCCCCGCGGCAGGTGCAGCCCCCCCCCCGCCCTCCCGGCGGCGCTCAGGGCCCGGCCGGCCGCCAGGGGCCGCTGCGGGCTCGGCGTGAGGCGGGCGCTACGCGGCGGAGGCTCGGCGGCTGCTGAGGGGGCTCCCCCCTTCGCGCCCCCCTCCCGCCCGGCCCCTCAGCGCGCGCTGCCGCGCGCCTTCCGCGCCGCCGCTGCAGCGAGCGCCCCGCAAGCGCCCCGCGGGCACGGCCGGCTGCAGCGCTCACCTGCCCCGCGGCCGCTCTCCCCCGCGCGCCCGGCCCGCGGGCACGCCCCCTCGCCACGCCCATTGGCCGCGGCGGCGCCCCCGGGGCGGGTTCCGCGGCGCTGAGTGGCCGGGCGCGCCGTCCGTCATCGCCGCCTGTCACAACACGCCCGGGCTCCTGTCAGAGCGGCGCGGGGCCGCCGCCGCCGCCGCGCTCCCTGCAGCCCCGCTCCCTGCAGCCCCGCTCCCGCCGCCGGCCCCGGGGCCGCCCTCGGGGATGGCCCCGCAGCGGGCAGGAGCCGCTCGCTGAGGGCAGCGCCGCCGGCCGCGCAGCCCGAGTCCCCCAGCCCAGCCCCGTCCCGTCCAGCCCCGTCCCGCCCCGTGCCGTGCCCCGGCGGAGCGATGGCAGAAGCCGCGGGCGGCCGGGAGCAGCCGGCGCCCCCCGACGCCGCTCCCCGCGCCGACGAGGAGCCCGAGGCGGCCCCTCACGAGGCGGCGGCGGGCAGGAGGCGGGAGCGCCGCAGCGGGGTGCCGGCCGTCGGGGCCGCCGAGCGCTTCCCCGGCGGCAGCCCGGGGCCGGCGGCAGCCCCGGAGCCCGACGCCGGCCTCCTGGAGGCGGCCCGGGCCGCCCCGCGGCGCAGCAGCATCATCAAGGTAAGGGCGGGACGCGGGCCCCGACGGCGGCCCCGGGGGTGCCCGGCCCGGCCGCGGCCGCCTCAGCGCAGGCGGGAGGGCTCCGGGCGCCTTTGTCTCCCTGACGGGCTGTGGGGAGGCGGCCCCCGGCCGAGCGCTGCCGGGGCCGTGCGGGGCTCCCTTTGCCGGGCGGTGCCGCCTCGCTGCGGGGCTGCCCGCAGCCGGCGGCTGGTGAAGGTGGCAAAGCCCCGGGCTCAGCCCCGGCTCCGTGCCTGAGGCAAAGAGCGCGGGCTGGGCGCTGCGAAGCTTGGAACAGCCGTGCCGAGGGGTGGATAAACAAAACGCCTGCTTTTTGCTTTTTTTCTTTGTTTTTTCTTCTTCATTTTAACGCTTTGACAATTAGAGGAGAGCCGGGTAGTTAAGCGTGAGGGTCCTTGGGAAGTTCCACCTCGCAGCATTAAGCATCGAGCCCCACAAAGCGTCGAAGAGTGGCTTTTGGTCTCTAGAAGCATCCAGTGAAGGCGATGGGAACGCTTCCAGCCTGAAGTTCCCCAAACGCACAGATGCTTTGCTAAATCAGGACCAAAGTTCTGGAAGTGTTGTGGGGCAGAAACCCAGTTCCCTCCTGGAACTGTGTGAAGGTTTTGGGAGTTGGAAATGCGCAGTCTTGGATGCAAATGCAGGCACGCGTTGCTTCTGCAGACGACACTGGCTCTACGAACTGTCAGGAATGGCAGATACACTTTAATGGTTGTTAAATGTGTGGCATTTTCACTATAGGTTGACATTTAGAAATATTATTGAGGATAGAGATGTATCTTCCAGCTGGAGAAAATTTCTTGAGATGCATCCTGGGATGGTGTTAATTGACAGAGATATTTCTGACAGATGAGAAAGTATTAACGTTAAGTAAGGAACTAGTAAGGCTGCGTGTGAAATACTGGGTAAAATCTGTTTCATGTGTTTAGAAATGATGCATTCAGACTGAAACAGGTGGTAAGAGGGATAACTAGCATGGGTTTCTAAGGTCAAGGGATTGAATGCTATGTGAGCATGGCTTGCTTAGCCTGGTGAAATAATAGCAAAGGGGGATGCGGCTGATCTTGAGCGTTATGTTACAGGGCGACAATGCAGTTTATAGGAAGCGTTAGAACAAAAGATGCCTGTATGTAAATCTGGTCTGGAAACTAGAAAACTATTGCAGACCATCGCTGTACGGTCTGAATGGTCATGAGACCATCACTGAGTGGTCTCATATTAGAAATACTAAGAACAAAAGTGAGCATATCTCATCTAAACAGTAATTGTTAAGGTGATGAATTAAATAAGATGGCGTGGTTGAGTTTGAAAGCAGGCATCTGAACCTGAGCATTTGCAGGCTGTGTGTCTCTAAGGCATTATGCTGTTGGGACTCCACATAAAGCATGGTTTGTTTTTCCACAAGGTTGTCTCAGTGGTATATGTTTTGAAGCACAGTTTTCCTTTGTCATTATACCAGTAACTAACTTGGAAAATACTCTTATTTCAGAAGAATCGAATGATTTATTTGTCTGCATCTTTGGGGAATTTCAGGTGCCCTAGAAAATATTCATCAGGTGCAGAGTGCAAATGGAATTAACATTTAGAAAGTAAAGCGTATTTCATTTTTTCAGTTTTCGGCTGAAGGACTTTGATATGCAGGAGTTCTGGTTAAGCATTGCACGTTTTGTAGTGGAAGGAATCTTACAGTGTATTCATCTTAATCTAAAATTTCTTATGTTCAGGTAAGTCCATAGGCAAAGTAGCATTCCGTCACTTTCTTTATACTCATCTTATCAGGTGGAAAAGAGAGTTTAAGAAAGCAGTGCAAGCTGTACGGTAACGGTGAGTTTTAATTCCGCAGGAGTTGAACGCTTGCCCTATTCTCCAATTTATTTCCCAGTTCTTTAAAAGTATACTTTAAGCACTAGCAGGTCTCACTGAAGTAAACATAAAGCCTAAATTCTGTAGATGAAGGTGATCAAAATGTACTTCTAACACCCTTTTTTTCCAGCAGTCTTCTAGAACTCTGCAAGTTTCAAGGTTAGTGTCGGAGGCCACAGTTTCAGTGGAAACCAGAGTTGCTTACATTGGAGGGCTTTGGTGTCCATGGGATAATTAAGTGTAAAGGACTGAACAGAGACTTACAGTATATGCCAAACATAATTTGCTGCAGGGAAGTTTTTTAAAGCGAGTAAAATATGAGCCCTTCTAGATAATCTTCAGTGCATTCAAGTGCTCTATATTTGGCCTCAGAAACAAGAGAACTCATTTATACAAAAAGAACAAAACGTAGCTAGAATATTTTTGTTCCCATTTTGTTTTGCTGATGTTCACAGCTTTCCAGATTGAGGTAAATTTGAAACAACAGTCTACGAGAAATGATTGTAGCTGTTCATGTACTTCGGAAATATTCGTAATACACGTGCATTATTATTATTATTTTTGTCTTAAATGCAAGGAAGAGGTAAGTAGTCTTACCACAGAACTGGAGCAAGAAAAGATTTTTATTTTTTTTTTCATGAGGAGCTTGAAATAAGCAGTGTATAATGCTAGGAAGACAGAAATAGAGGACAGGCAATACAGCTTAGAACTTGGGTGTTTTCAAATAAGCCTAAACATGGAGCACATGCATTGGCTAAGCTACTTTCCAAGTATTTCTGTATTTTTTTCTTGTGAATAATCCAGGGCCAATTGTTTGCAAATAAAATGTTAATTATGACCACTTTGAGGGCAGGAGAATGGAAAACAGAGGTCAAAATACTCCTTTCTTTACACGGAATGTTTTGCAACCTTTTCTGCTTCAACTTCTAAACAGTGTTGAATGATGTTTTCCTTCTAGCATGTTCCTTTGGACATCGCCATGTACAGGCATTTTAATAAGCAGGTAGGAAGGCCGTGTAATTCATTATGTAATGCCTACTGAAATATTTTATAACTTTCACCAAGATATTTCTGATCAGGTGCTTATCAGACTTCTCTCTCTGCTTTGTATGCGTGCAATACGTTACTTCTGTGACCATGTGTTTTTTCTTCCTGGATCTCTATATGAAGATAATATAGCAGATAACATAGCTCTGTGCTTTGTCAGTAATGCTAGACTGTGTCCATAAGGTGAACTACAAGTAGGAATCAAGTCTGTGGAATCAGACTTGAACTGTAGTCACAGCAGACCTATGAGACCTCGTACTTTTAATTAAGTTCTTCCAAAGGCTACGTGCTTCTTTTTCATGTGCAGGTACTTTATTTTAAAGGCCGTTCGAGTTACCCTTGTGCGTCATATGCTGCTACTCTAAGAGCTGCAAGGACTGGGATTTTGCAATTAAATTGATCCATGGAAGAGTGTCAAGACAACTAGCTCTTTTCTTTGAAGAAGTTTTATTTATCCTAATGACATTTTTTAGCTTTAAAAAAACTTTGCATATCATTCTTATCAAAAAGAATGCAAGGCTTAATTTCTTCCAGCTTGTGCTTGAAAGCATGCTGACAAAATTTAAATGTTTAAAATACATGATACATCTGTCTGTGCACCATGGCTATATAACGTTGTTTTTTTGGAAGACAGTGGAGTTGTTCAGGACTGTGATGATTCTGCAGTAACTTAGGTAGTGTTTTGCTGTGTAAGCTTGCAACTAGATGGAAGAATGATATGCCTAGTCTGTGGAAAGACTGCTACCGAACAAGAGATATGTTAAATCAGTCTGGAAAAAGGCACCTGGTGGGTGGTATTTAAGATCTGTGCAAATTCCCAAACATTGTGGAAAGAGTAACATGGAGCTGTTATTCCTTCTTCACAGAAAATGAAGTAGGGAACAGCTAGCAATAGCTACATAGCAGTAGGTTTGAAGTAAATGAAAGTATTTTCTGACACAGCATGTAATTAAATCGTGCACTTAACAGCCACAGAAAGCTGTGGCAGTCAGAAATGTAAACGGGTTCAAGCAGATTCAAAATGATAAATTGATGAAGGAGAGCTTCACAAAGCACCAAAAGCATCTGGCTTACAAAGTCCCTAAACTACAAGCTGTTGAGCTTTGGGAAGCTGCAGCAGAGGATTGATTGCTTTGTACTTCGTTTCTTGTGTGCCTATGCGTGCATATACTCCTGTAGCTGGGATACCCGTAGGGATTGACCTTTACCTAACCTGGTAAGGAGAAATTTAGATGCACTGCTAAGACACACAAAAGAATGTTTTCTGCTATTGCTAGTGGAATAATTTATTAAAAAGAATCTTTTGTTAATTAGTAGTTTAGAATTTTTTGGATTGCAAAGACATAGCTGGCTGTAATCCTTGTAATATTTTCATAACACTGCACCTGGATTCCATGCACCGCTGCTTTTTCATAAACATGCACTTAAATCAGAAACTATACTGGTTGTAGACCTGCTTTTGCCAAATGAATTACATCTAGAAGTTAGAAAAAGCTACTCCATCTCTAGCGATGCCATGGGACTGTTGCATTTCTTGCTGTGATGCTTTCTGGTGGAGGCCCATGGGCATTTCAGACTGGGCTTGACCCCTGCCCCTTCCTTCAAAGCCAAACAATCTTGGTAGGTCAAGTATCACTGTGACTAAGATAACAACATTGTAGTGAGCAGGATTTAGGTCCTGTGGAGTTCTTAGAGTCAAATTAGCAATGACTTTCTGTAACAATGTATACAAAGAATTTAACAAAGATTTAAGTGTATAAAATGGGATTCAGGCAGGATTTTAGGTGCAGGAGCCCCATGAAGCTGTCTTGGGGGCTCTGCTACCTTCTTATGCGCCGCTGGCTTTTCAGGATTTACGTTTTATCAGAAGAGTTTCATACAGATATATTTCTGTTGCGCATGCCCAGAGTTGCTTATACTTGCTGCTGAGCATTTTCGTAAGAACCTTGTACCCCAGTCAGTCTATGATTAGTAGGTGAAGGTTTCTTTGCTTTCTATTTCTTGGAGTCTTTCATGTTTCATTTAGACTTTGACAGTTTTTTGTTTTTATTTTTTTTTTGAATACAATAAATGTGATTTCCAGCCATCTCTACACACAAGTAAATTGCTCTTTAGATTAATTTCCACTGGAGGAGAGCCTGAGGCCTGGCTAAAAGTCCCTTAAAAATCCATGAGAGCCTTTAGTTATCCACGCACTCGTGGATACTAACTAACTTTAGTTAGTGCTTTTAAAATAAACAAACAACACAAGCATCCAGGGCAAACTGCTTGTATGAAAACTTGAAGTGAATTTCTCTGAAGTTGACTGTAAACTGTCCAGTGATTTGCTTGTCAGTTAGTTTGATGTGGTACCTAATGTAATGCACAGTCTCATTAAACATGGAGAGAAATGAATAGTAGCACAGTGTTTGTTGTGCCTTTCCATACAGGATCATAATAGTCAAGATTATTTAAATGCCTTCCACTAAAAGTCTCTAAAGGTGACATTTGTCAGATTGGTGGGACAATGTCCTTTCAGAAGGATGCCAGCAACTGCAACTCAGCTGGCCCGGTGAGCTGCACACGCAAGTTCTGGCAGGTCTTTTGGGGAAGTTATTTGCTGGATTTCCTGGGGAAGAGATAGCAGCTGTTATTGTCAGGAAGGAGAGATGAGGATGGTGATAAGGTTTGGTTTGCCTTTGAAGTATGTTGTGTGCACAAAGACTATTATGTAGAATTATGTAATTGTTTAGGAATAATGTTCTCTTAGAGTAATGGCACTGGTGGTAGGGCAGCAGCAGAGGAATGTTTTCTACGGTTTTGCAAATATGTTCAGCAGCTTAGTTAACAGAACCAAGTTGTCATATATATGCTGAGATGCAAATCCTATAATAGTTATAATACTCTTTTATTGATTTTTTTTTTTCTTGTAGTTCCAATGAGATCAACTACACCTGTAAGAAAATGTTTTATTTGAGTTAATAGTAGTCCATTTGCTGCAGGGAAGGAGAGAGAAAATGTGAAAATGCAAGTAATTATTGTAGAACCAATAATGCATCCTCTGTGGCGAAACATCGAACTGATCATGCTTGCAAACCTAATTAGTCTGTTTTTTCTTTCCAGGAAGCAGCTGGTAGGTGTAGTTTTTTTGGTATACCTTGATGATTTTATTAAAGAATGGAGAATGATGATTAATTGAAATATTTATACACTTGTATTTTACTTTTTCCCTTTAGCCAATATGACCTGGAGGTTTTGTCATGCATTAAAGTTAAGAGACTTTTTTTTTTTTTTTTGTGATGAATTTTAACTTCTGCAAAAGGCTAAATATGTTAATTGGATATTAAAATGTTCTGAAAACATGTATTTGTATGAGACATGTTGGTGTATGAGAGTATTTACCATTGAAGCATTGCTTTTAGTTCTTTCTGCATCGTAAACACTTTCGGTTTTGAAGCCTGCTTATGCACAATACTGTCTCTGGGGGAATTTTCATTTAAGAAATTTGTTGTAATAGTTACTGAGTCCCCGAAACACGTTTAAATTGAGATTACAGTAGTGTCTTCCTTAAGTCTCAGCACATTGTTAACTCACGTTTTTATTAAGCCGGAAATCTCTGACCATTAAGGGTATGTACAGGCTTATTTAAATAACTTACTGGAGGTACAGTGAGATACACTACTCCTGTTCCAGAGCCACTTAAACCAAGAAAATTAGTTTGGGGATTATTTGGGGCAGTATGTGTCAGATGATTTTATTGTGACATGCCTGTCTGAAGGTAGATCAAAGTCCGGAAGCTAACTGACATCAAAGTACATGTATCACTACCTTGCTAGTGCACTGAGAGGGCTTAAATAAATACATGAATAAATTCTAGCTGTGAACATACACTGTGAAGGTTTGATTCTCTTTCTGAGTTGCATGCTTCGGGGAGTAGTAACACTCATGTTGCATCTTTGATAATCCTGGCAAAAACAGCTCTAAGGAGATAGGAAAAGAGAGGATCCTGAGCTTATATAACTCAGAGCAAGCATTAATTGCATTCATACTGATTATTCCTAGGAGGTTCTCTTTAGGTCTTGTTAGGTCTTATCTCTCCTGATTGACCTATATCATGCTGCTTTGGTACTTCTTCAAGGGGTGGAGGGAGCAAGTTTTTTCTGCCCAGTACCTTGTTGGAGGATTCATAGAGAGGGGAAATTAGTTTGAGTACTGCGTAGTTGTCGTGTATTGATTTGCATACCTGTGAACAACTACAGATGGTAGATAATTAGGATGTTAGACAATTAGGTTTCCCAAATCCTTTTTGTTCACTGAAAGTTTGTTTTGGTAGCTTGGATACAACTTGTGAATGTCTGATATCTATTCAGCATGGACCTGCCTTCTCAGTTACATACCTTTCAGGTAAGTCAAGGATCAGACGAAGTGCAGTGCTCATGGTTTATGAGTTTTTGGACCCAAAGTGTCAAGTCACGTTGAGCAGTGATCCTGCAGTGGAAGATGTAATTAGCCATTTATAACAATAGTGTATTTTAGCTGCAGGCGTAGCATGTTTTTAATTCATTAGGCAGTGCTGATGAATTGTGGATCTGTTTTAACTATAAATTAAAAAAAGGTATATCTTCTTTGGCTCTTTCAGATAGCATTGGGGAAAAAAAAACAAACACAAAACAAACAACCAAAAAAGGGAGTTGATTCAATGAAGTGTGAAAAGAGAATATTCTTCTTGGATTCTGACAGTCTTATCCTACTGTTGCTATTTGAACAGAAATATAAAAAGCATTGTGTTTTACTTAATATTGTTTTCTTGTAAGAAGCTTGTAAAATGCAGTATAGGCAACTCAACTGTGGGTGATTTCTGGGTACTTGCATTACATTTTTTTACAAGCTGTACTTTTATTTGGAAGAGCTGTATGATTTTATCTGCTTTGTTCATATAATTTAATTTTATAACAATTTTCATAAATATCTGATTAGAAGTTGCATTTTGTTTGGCTGGAGTGACTGCTGATCTCTGGAAGTCAGAGCTATCAGGGGACAGTACTGTGAATGAATTACTGTAAGATCTCTCATCTTTTTCTCAATGAGGTTATGTAGGAGCTTTATGAAATTAATCTAATAAATGTACTAGCTTAATAAGAGGATTATATTCCATTGGAGTATGACACACCTCCAGGCTACCTGATATAAATAACAAAAAATCCTGTGAGCACTGGCTAAAACATAGACACTGGAATTAATTAAACAGACGAAACCCACTTTTTGTACGTGTTGTGTTTTGCAGTCGACAGAGCCCTGTCCCAGAGCCTGCCTGGAAGCTGTGCAGCCTTCAGCGGGAGCTGTGCTGGGGTTGGCCTCACTCCGCGTGTAACGCCCAAACCTTGATGCTGTGCTAAATGCAAAGGGGCTCTGGGAAATGTGGATGTAGCCTTCTAATCTCATGTGAAATGGGTTGTGCTTGTGTATAATCTGAAAATGCAAGTCATACCATATATATAGCTTGTGATTCCCTTCCCAGTGTTATGATTTGCTGTGGCATTTGCTCCCTAAAGCGATGCAGATTTTGAGTACACACGTGATTTTGCAGTCTATGAAATCAGAGGCAGTTTTCACACTGTCATAGTTCTAGAATGGATTGGCTGAGCTTTTGCAATATTGCTATCCAATCACTGTACCCAGTTACTTGGCTTTGAATGTTCTTCCTCTAGTTCATAAAAACTGAAACTTTTTGTTATGGTGATCCTACTTGGAGCTGGACTAAGTTTTCTGGCAAAACTGCGTCAGTTTAAACTGATGAAGAATGGATTTTAGGGGATTGTTTCCAGATAATGGTTGCTTCTATTAGAAACACAATAAATAATTTAGAGTAGAGGGAAAAAAGGTAGAAGCAACTTAGTAAACAAATGCGCTTGCCTGAAGTTACTTTCTTGGCAGTATTGTTGTGGTATGCACATAGAATGCCTGGTAACAAATCTATTTGCATTCCATACTGTTTTTTTCAACATCTTTATGGGCAAGTAGTTCATTTCAAGGGACTGAGCCAGATCTCACTGAGATCAAATTAAAGCCTGTTAACTGACTGCTGAATGTTTTCCCAGTGTCCTTGGTCACCAGAAGTAGGAGTGTTCTTGGCAGCAATGCCTCCTGACTTTGAAGACTTGCTTTTTTTTTTTTTTTTTTTTTTTTTCCCCAAGCCATTATATATTACTTACACTATGTTATATTCTGCTCCTGAGCATAGTCCAGTCCAAAAACTGTTGGCTTCCAGCAGATGCAGCATCTTTCACCATAGCTATGTCTCATGCGATGTGAAATGCAGAGCTCTGTGACTGTTGGAGTGGCATTGAGGGGACTGTCCCTTTGTCTAAAGAGTTTGCTGTTTTGAGGGCGAATGCCTTGACTTCCATTTAGATGGGAACTGGTGTTGGGAAGATGGCCACATTTCTCAGAAAGAGATGAGCTCAGGGAGGAATGAAGAGGAGCACAAAAGGCAGTGAAATGGCAGAGCAAGGCAAAGTAAAGGAGGTGCCAGAAAGCTGCACCTTGTTGGCAGGGATGTGCACAGTGCTGAAGATGTCTAAAGAAGGGAGAGATTTTGCTGCAGCTTTTCAGAGAATCAGGATGTGAGGTCTGTGAGGTAACATGCACGGCTTTAGGACTACGTTCTGATCCACTACCAGTAGCTGGTAATGCATCCAAATAGGAAAGGACCGTACATTTTCTTAGCTTTAGAAAATTGACATGTAGCTGCTGTCTTCCAAGTATCCCTTCTCTGTAGAAAGAGAACTGCACATTTCCTTCAGACCAGCTTTTAACTTCCCCAAAGATACTCGGCTCTCAGCTTGAATAAACTGAGCTCTATCCCACTGCAAGTGCATTTGGCATCACTTTCAGAAATTTGAGGATTTGAAAGGAACAGTGTGGGCACAGTGTTCCATTCACAGGGAGAGGAGAGGAAAGATGAGCTTTCTCACGTAAAAGGTTGCAGCATTTCCTTTCTTGTTTGAGTCATTGTAAGACAAAAGACATGACCCTGCAAAGACAGACCATTTATGTGGTTTAGCAGCGGTGTAACCCCAAACTCTTTATTTCATTTGCAATGTCATTTGCTCTGTTAGCTATCTGTACACCTACTCAGGGACTGCAGAATGCCTTTAACTTGGATTATGGTGCATGGCAGCCAGGAGCACATATTACACAGTTCTCCAAACATCAAGGAAAACAATGAAGTATTTACAGGTCTAGATAGGCTGAATATTCAAAAGAACATAGCTCCACTTGCTCAGTTTATTATCTTTCTGTCCATCTACCTATGTATTGTGCATACTTTGCATGCCTACGTAGTTCACAGATCGTTATGTTGAATTTTTAGGCTAGATTTTGCAGTGTTACACAGGCATAGCAGTGGGAGATGGTTATGTTGCTTACTGTAGTGAACCCAGGAGCTAAACTTTGTAGTTATTGTGAAATGCATGTTCTCTTCAAAGGAGAAAAAAAAAAAAAAAAAAAGAGCATAATTTGAATATTGCAGCAGAGGTGTATTTGTAAGAGTGCAAAATGTGATTTTCACTGCCAAATAACTTTCCCATATTGCAAGTGCTTGTTAGGAGTTATCTGCTACTTTTTGGCCTACTGTAAATACAAGTCACAATGGTTTATTCAAGAAGGATTTTGGAAAAAAAAAAAAAAGTGTATGGACCACTCTCAATTTTAAAATGAGATATTCATCAGGAGTTAGCTAAAATTCAAGGTGGTACCAGGTTATCTACACAGCCATTTGCTTTAGTCCTTATTGAAAGTAAGCTTGTGTGGACAAATACCAAGGGACCTTTTCTTGCAAGGTGGAGAAGTGCCTCTGAAATGTGCGCCAGAAGAGCCAGAGAATGCAGAAGCACAGATGTCGCTCCCATAGCACAGTGGGTTTGCTTGAAAACTGCTGTGCTTACTTCCAGTCTGAGCTGGCACTTTCTGCAGAAAGCTGCTGTGCACATTGCTCTGAGTAGGAAGCGATGCTGGCTGTATCGTGCTGCTGTGACAAACTGCAATCCTGAGCACTCTCATGCCAGCAGAATTGCTTGCCTGGAGGTGTTGTAGTCCTGAGACTTGACTTATTTTTCCTTAGGCCCTGTTGCATCAGAGGAGGATTTCATCTGTAGTGCATTTAGATACAAAAGACTACTTCAGAAGTTTTTGGCAAAACTGCCGGCATCAGAAGCAAATGCTGATCTGCATGAGTGCTGAATATTGGTGGTTGTAAAGGAATGCCATCTTTTAGGATAGGAACAATGAATGACCCTATAGAAAATAACACTAATTTGTGGTTTGGACAGTGGAAATTACTCTTGAATCTTCTTGACTGTGTGTAAAGAGTGTTAAGTGCACTGTTGAATTAATACAACAGTACATGAACTCATATTTTTAGGAGTTGATTGTGATTCCTTTCTGTATTTTTAGGGGTTGTTAATAGCAGCATTTTCTCTTCAGGAACTAGCTTTATTTCCAGTTACAGGTTCATAGCTGAATCTGTGGGCTATGTTTGGGTATAACGTTACATAGCCCTTTTGGCTTATTATGCTCCTATGCAGTAATTAATGGATGAATGTAAATATGGGGATAAATGGTAGGAAAGAGAAAAATATTGTAGAAAAGGTGTACCTTTGCTGTGTGTTTGTATAGCTTGATATCACCAGTTACTTCTCAATTAGGAATCTCGGCTACTCATTTATCTTTACAACAGATTTTACCCTGCTTCCAGATAGTAGGCAACTAATTTCCTCCCTCTTCCAAGTTTATGAAAATGCTTTTTTTGTTTTGTTTTGTTTTCAGGGCTTTGCCATTGTGTATTGGTTGCTGTATAAAAGAATTTTCTACGTTGACAAAGTATTCAGGGTGTTTGTCACATTGCTGTATTGATAGTGGCAGTTCCACTGCTATTATGATTTTAAATCTCTTCTAGAAAAGGCTGGAGAAGCCAGCTTCAGCAGCATTTAAGACTCCACACATCAGGGATGCATTAAACATCCTTCTGGAAGGACCTGAGATGTCTGCACATATTACAGAGCTTTTAAATGAGCTTCTAATGATGTCAGATGAGTCCCTAACAACCAACAGATGCCAAGCTTTTCTCGCTTTCTGTGATGATTTAGTGATCAATAGCAGTAAAAGAATCCAGGCAATACAGCAGAGTGTATTGCTAGTCCTCTCAAATGGTTGTTTAACTCTAAAGATAAGCTTCTTGGTGTTTCCAGTGATAACAATGATTAATGCCTCCTTTGCTGTTGACTGCTCCGTACTCCTGTTTTCTTCCTCTGTAGGGTTTGTGGACTATATGAAAAGTTTACTGCTGTCTCTCCCAGCAGGTCCCTTCCAGCCATGCCTAGCTGCTACTTAAGTGATTCATTATGATGATGGATTCATATCTGGTTTTGCAGATGTGTCTGAGTGCCTTCTTCCTGAAGACACTGCTGTACTTTGTTCTGGGAGGTGTGAAAAGCAAGAAGAGAAATTGGCCTGCCTATAGTCCTATCTGGAAGCATTCAAGGAGCTGGAGGAGAACAGCCTGGGGCATCATTCTGATCTGCTCTTTAGATTGTGCACAGTGCGATAGTGGGCTTCTAGGGGAGGGACTATTTGGCCAGAAATCAGAGCCTGCAGAGAGTTGTTAACTGCAAGGACCTTTGCCACAGTCCTATGTAAATGTCCTGCTGGAGAAGATGCAGCTTGTGCTTATTTCTACAGTGTCTGCTTGGAGCTAAAGGAGAGGAGGTTTTGAACACGGTGTTGGTGAAACACACAGAGGTGCAGAACAGTAATGTCATCTTCTGGAGAAGTGTGTTTTCCCTTGAAGGATGGGCAAATGAGGGGGGTAGAGCAGTAGGTGCCTGCTAGCAGTTCTGAGGCAGGTGGAGGCCCGTTTGATAGAGAAGTACCTGTTAACGCAGATTACAAAGGTTGTGACGGCCCTGTAAAATACTGCTGTTTGGCTGGGGCATAGGGAAGGGGGAAGTATGTCACGAATCCTGTTCAATTTCTTGATTAGTATTTCTCCTGCAGGTTCTCCCCCTTACCCCCCCCGCCATAAGAAAGGATCATCTGTGTGTAAGTTTGTGTTTGTCGTGCTTTCTGTTGTGTGAAGTCAGAGCAGAGGGGGCTGGCATCACTGGCTGTATCTGCTGGGTTGGGGAAACAGGCTGTGTGCGGACAACCCAGGCGCAGTGGGAGAAAGCTGACAGCGTGATTTAATAAGGCCTTGGCTAAGTATTTCGGACCTTTTCTGGAATTTGTCAGCTGTTTTTAAATATGTGCTTTATCTCATTTTTACAGCCAAATGCTGCTGCTCTTTTCTATTTTTAGTCTTATCTTACTGCCTAAAAATAGGACACTTCATTTTATTGGAAGGAAAATGGTCATCAGTAAATGATGAAGATCATTAATTATGTTGTCAAACAAAATCATACATCAGCAAGCTTTTGTCTGTGTGGTAATGTTTTTTTTACCTTGTATGCTGGAATGCCATCTACGCTACTTTGAGACTACAGCAAGTACGCTGACTGCTCTCCAAATGACTGCGCTGGTCAAGGCACTGCGGCGTTGATCAACTGATATCTGTTTGATCAACACTGTGTTTGATCCCTGTGTTGATCAACACTGGTCCCCCTGATTCGATACCCCCCACAGCCTTGTTACTGGCAACTCAGAATCTGCCCGTTGCTTTTGATTTTTGGCTTTGCCTTCAGTGGGGGATTCTTGGCAAATAGGAGGACAATTAGCTAAAGATGTAAAAACAACACGTAAAAGTCCAGATTAAATCCCTTTTGAAAACTTTCAGGAAAAAATAGTGATTTTAGTCCACAATCATTTTGACTCCTTGCTGGTGATGGTTCAGCTCTTGGTAACACGTTTTGGTTTAATGCATTTAGTTAATAAGTCTTATTTCTGCACTATCCTGGCATAGTTCAAAGCTAGGTGGTAATTCAGGTACTCTGGTGCTTTTGGGGTTCTGCCTGAGACCACCTTGTGCCATAGTTAGGGGATCAGGGCTTGTCAAAGCATACAGGGGTGGTTCACTGGGGCTTAAAGACTGTTGCAGGCTTCTCTACTTTGTCATCACTGAGCTGGTAAGAATGACAATAGCCTGTTGTCAACAGGCTTTAGCATTAATGTTCATCTTTTAAATCGTATTTTCATATTTCTTTAAGCTGTTTTATGTGACGAAGTACAGAGCTATGATTTCTGTTTCCTTAGTAGACTCTACTGGTGTCCCAAGACTTCAAAACGTGGAGTGACTGTTTCTGCATGAAAACTAACTTGGGATCATGAAGAAGTTGATTTACTTTGTTTACCTTCATAGTGTTTAAAGCTGTGTTTTTTTTTGTTGCCACAATAACTTTGTGGTGAGTTTTTGGCTTTTGTAACAATTTCAGAGTTTTTTGTTTTTTTTTTTTTTTTTCTCCTTATGCTTTGTGTTTTTGGGGATGAAAAAACCAAGGCACTGGATAAAGAAGATAAAATAGTTTGTGGGCATTTAACTTTGATGATCAGATAGGAAGACAGAGAGACTCTCTAATCATAACATCTACAGGAACATCATGCAGTAAAAGTTGTGGGGTGTGTGTGTGTGTGTGACAGAGATTTGCTTCCCAAGAAGCAGAATAGCTGCAGCACTGATTTTAAAAAAATGAGGGTTGGAGAAGGAAACGAGATAACGCAGAAAAAGACAGCAAAGATTATTTCCTTGAACGAGAAGGGAGTATTTGAGATGGAGTATCCCTCTCTGGAAGGATGAGACTTTTAAACCACTGTGTTAGAGACTAAATGAATTTTTTTGACTCCATCCAACTTTGAGGATGTCAGATTTCTCTGTTGTGCCTGTTAACAGTGAGGTAAGAGAGCACGCTGTGTCTGTCGTGCCAGGCTTTGTGGGCACAGCCCCAGCCTGGCTAGGATGTCCACCCTGCGTGACTGGGGGGAAGCTTCGCTCCCTTCACAGTAACTTCAATTATGTTGATATAAATGCTAACACCTCCTCATAAATACGATAAATATTGCTTGTGCGTCAAATTGCTGGCTACTCTTATAGCAACAGCTGGTTTAAAATCTTAGAATGTATGTCCTGTTATCTTTCTGCAAATGATCCATCCTATTTGCATGTAAGGATGAAGAGTGTATTCATTACTTTCTCAACTAACATGAAAAGCTGCAAAGCCTTGGATGCTGATCCTGGTATGTATTCAGTTTTTCACATTTTGCTGGACTGTGTCCTAAAGCTATTTAAGTTTCTTATTTTTCCAGACTGGTGGAATCATTTGTTCCCTAAATTTTTCCCTTTTCAGGGGAATAATGATTTTTTTTCCCCTAGTTTCATTGTTTTCTATAACTTCACTGGAGTGAGTTACTGGAAATAACTTTTATCTCTCTCTCTCTCTCTATATATATAATTTATTTTCTTTTCTGGCAAGGCTGAAACAATTTCACTTTGGGATTTGGTCAGCTCTGCTGGAATTTGTATGTTCTCCTCACGCTGGATACCTTCCCTCTGGGCTTCCCCCTCTTCTCCTGGACCTGCAGCATATAGTGTGGCAGTGTGACGATCCAGACAGGCCCTAAAAAACTGTTGGCAAAGGCCTTGCTGGAAACTTAATTTCTTGGCCTTTCGAGAATCCTTAACTTGGAGAACCAATTGTTTTGCTGTCCTTTGGTTTCAATTCTATTTCTCAAATTTTGATTATTCAGTTTGCTTTTATAGAAAGCCTTTCTTTCCCCCTCTTTTTTAAACAAACTTCGATGCTGGTGTAAAATCCTTCCCTCTGTGAGGAAGAGAGCTTCTGCAGATATGTGGAAAACTGCCTGAGTGAAGGATGGAAACGAGAGAGAGAAGACATTTCACAGACATTTTCTTGATTACTGGTTCCTGAAATCAAGACCTCCTGCTGCAGTGTAGGGAATCAGTGTTGCCCATCAGTTCATTTTTTTTTTTTTCCCCTCTATCCCTGCAGAGTTGTATGAAAGATGATTTTAGTTGTCTTTCCCCATTCCTTTTGGACTTTGTTTATTTTGGGAAAAAAATACTCCAAATAATGTTGTATTTTATAGGACCTATAAATAATAATTTCTGACTGTAAAGAAAAATACAAGGCCTGCTTAGTGAGACTGCAGATGAGATTTCAGTTATCCATGCTTAAGTAGATGAGGAAAGTAACTGAAAGATGGAAGTAGTTTTATGTTAAGCTGTTTTCTGTAAAACAATGGCAAGACCTGGACTGATTGAACAACGTAATGGGTTATTTGAATGTTTGACAAGAGATGAAAAACCTCAACCTGCAGTTTTTATGGGGGGAAATCAACTTTCATAAGTGTACTTTGGATACAAATTGAAAGGGATTTCGGAATGATCACTTCTGCAGCCAAACAAAAATATTATTTCTTTGAGGCTATTGTTACCAAAATTCAGCAAGTTATTATTCTACTCACAATCTTTGTAGCTCTTTAATTTTTCAAATAGTATATATGTTATTCTAATGTTACATTCATGCGAAAGTAAGTCTGCTGTCTGTGGAACAGCCATTCCTGCCGCTTCTGCAAAATACTTTTACGTGTGTGTTTCTAGAGAGAAGGTGTATTCCTTTCCCATCCTGTGAAACTCAGGGGACTTTCAGCACAACCAAACCTCCTCCTCCCACAGGAGGGGACCACCAAGAGAAGTGCTTGGTGTCAGCCACCAAACGGGGTATTCCTGCATGTTATATATTGGCTACCTGGACAGAAACCTGTTTGTTGCTAGATTTGACTGTATGAATTGTAACACATTTTATTCTTCAAGGATTCTTTAGTTTATAAGAGAATCTGGTCTCCTCAAAAACCTTTATTTTAGCGGGTTGTCCCATCTAAGCAACATCTCATTGAAAAATCATCTCATTAAAAGTTGTAAGGGTATGTGAAAAGCCCTAGGACAGGGCTAGGAAGTGTACTGTCTGGCTACACTGCCTGGAGTCACTGGGATGTGTGAAAGGGGGAGTGAAGAGTCACACATGAGGTTTATATGTTCACAGTAGGTCAGCATGCAGAGACACGTGAGCCCACACACACCTGCACACTTGCAACATCTCTTTTAAGAAAATCAAAACTGAGCTCTGGAGGTTGCAGTTTAACATAGCAGTGAGAACTGAAAATTCTGCAATTCAGCCTGATTTAATTTCTTCCTGTAACTCATTTCTGAGTGTTTTTGCATGTACAAGCTCTCATTTTGTTTTTGTCCATTTATGCATAAGTAACTTCCTATTACTGATTTTTTTTCAATAGAACAGCACGTTATTTAAGGCCAAGAAGAAATTCTGAAATCCAATCTGCAATTTCTAGTTGCAAATTTTTGGAGTAAACTGAGTTCTGTTTAATTTTTGGAAACAGTTTTCTCACCTGTAACAACCAAATTACCATACTTGGGTGATGTAAGAAGCTCTGCAGGATGCATATTGCATAATGTTCTGTGCTTTTTTTTTTTTTTTTTTTTATACCAGGGTGTGTGAAGAAGCAAAGCCCACTTAGGAATGCTCTTTGTGACAGTCCCCATCCTTTCAAACTTGTTGTTGGCTCACACAGGGATGGCTGTTACAGCGCTGGTAACTCTTCAAGGAGCCCCGGCAGCTCCACGTTTGGGTGGGGAGGTGGGGGAAGAGCTGGGTGTCTGTGGCTGGTGCTCGGGTCCTGCTGGTGGCCTTGTGCTGTGGCTGGGTGTGAGGGGACCTGGTGGGGAGTAGATGGTATTCGAGGAGCAGCTCCTGCATCTCAGGGGTGGGGGCTTGTGGCTGTAAGCTAAGAAGGACAGGGAGGTTGGGGGTGTTTTGTGGAGCTGCAGGTAATGGTAGGGGACGATGTGTTCATTCCTCAAAGCCTTGAACAGAGTTACTTATGTGACTTCCACCTCTAATTTTCAGAGGATGTTTATGCAGAAGTGTCATTTCTTATCTTCCTAATGTTAATTTATTTTTTGCTGTCTTACAGTGACCATCCCAATTGCCCTCATGTTCTTCTCCCTGCAGGGTTGCGATGTTGGGCCTCTCTGCAGAGTTTGTGATGAAGTGTCCTTTCGTTCACTGCCCCTCCAGCTGCTTTGTTTTAGCATATCTGTTTTCTGATGATCCTAGCCTTGTATTATTAGCTGCATCTGTAAATATTTTTATTACATCTTTGTTAGGCAACATATTACTGCAGAATGTTTTGGGACAGTCTTCTGGTTCCAAATTAAGGAAGCTTTCATTTTTTTCCCTGTAATCTACAACATTTTGGAGGCAAAATTTACTTCCTACTGTAAAGCAGTGTTTATTTATAAAGCAGTATTGTAAATACTTTAAATATTGCTTTTCATTGTAATGCTTTCCTGACTAGCATGACCGTTAATTTAACAGAATGTGATGGTTTAGAGCAAGCTCTCTCCCTTGGGTTAGTTTACTGATAATTCTTTCCCTACCAGATGGAAATGATTTGGGTACAGTAAGTTTAGATGCAGGCAGTAGTTGTCTTACACAGTTGCAATTGGGTTAAGATGTGTTTTAGCTAATCAAACCATGGTAAAATATTATGAAAAAGCCAATTAATTGAAAACACAAAGAACTTCCTTTTTTTTTCTCAGTTTTTCCTGTCAATACCAGTGAAAACCCATTGCTCCCTTTTCTTCAGTTCTGTTTTTTAGAGGGATTGACCAGGCCATGTGCAGGGTGGGACCTTCCCCTAAATGCCATCTCAACGATTCTTCTGAAGTTTAGAAAGGTCTCAAAGCTGGTGGATTGATTACTATTTCTTCTTCCTGTCTTCATTTTGTCAATTTTCCTGTGCAAATGGGAAGTAGAGATAATTGCAGGCTTGTTTTATAAATGAACTCCTTCGGGCTTTTTATGGATGTTGTCAGTGTTAAAATACTTTTATTTAGCAAAAGTTTGCCTTTGGGACTGTTAATCCAAGGAAGGTGTTTAAATGATTAGATGGGCTTTGTTAGAGTGCTTTAACATCATGTATTTTGATCAAGATGAATTAGACAATGGATTTAAGGGATTATTTTTTTTCTGGCATCAGTGAAGGATAACTGATACTGTGCTGAAGCAACCTCAGGGTAACTAACTGTGGAAGAAACTGCTGGATCCACTCACTGAAGTGATGTTGTCTCCTCATCACTCTCAATAATGTGCTTTATTTTTAAGGAATAATGAGTTCAGAGACTTTGGACATGGCTTCCTTAGTGCTTCCCACTGTGCCACGTTTTTGGGACTGATGCTGGGTCTCTCCATGCCCCTGTTTTGGGTGCCTGGCTCCTCTGTGACAGCAGAGGTTTTGGTAGTGCTGAGCAAGGAGAATTTGCTATGTGGGCCTTGGAAAGAAAGCTACACCTGGAATACTAACTTCCATTGCTACTACTTAAGTTTCTATAAACAGTTGATTTAGTGGATAAATCTGGAGTAGGTAAACTTTTCTGAGAGGTGGCTGTGTTATAAGATGGAAGCAGTACAGATCTCCCAAATAACACTTCTCTTTTGATATGCTGGTACCATACAGATCCAAAGCTTGTTGCAGCTGTGCGTCAGGGATATGCAAAGAAGAAAACGCTCTTTGACACATAAAGGAGCTAATCTGTAAATACAAAAATAACTTCAGTGCTTTTATAAATATCCAAGCAATTCATATAATGTAGACAGAAGCTTAGTATATTCTAGTACAGAGTACACGACATAGACTAGATTGCTTTGAGAAATGAGAAGCTTTTCCCTTGGATTATTCATTATAATCACGGAAATGGACTTCTAAAGCATCACTTGTACACGTGGCGCCGTTCTTTGCACTCACTGTCAGCCAGCTGACCTCCCACTGAATTTGTGTTGTAAATCACAGCAAAATAAAATTAACTGCACCAGATAATGTCTTCCTGTATTTGCTGCAAACTTGTGGATGAGGCTTTGAAAATGTTAATGAAGGCAGCTTTTTCAATTACAGGGAGCAAAACATCGCTTGTCCAAATGGATGCATCATCATTGGGTTGCTAAATCTAAATTTGTTTTAGATATGTACTGAGCCAAATTCTGTGCAACTATCGTGTTGGAGTGTTTCGTTAAGTATGTGGCTCTAATGTCATGATGCGTCATGTTACAAGCACAGACTTCTGTGCTCCCTGGTGAATGTTTCAAGAACATAAAAACTGTATTTCTTTGATGCAGGATCTACACTCTTAACACTGAATGCAGATCTTAGCCTTTTGTGCTGCATCTTCTGTTAATATGAGCAAAAATTGGGTGTTAAAAGATTTTAAAAGGTGATGTATAATTTACTTTTGCTGGAAATAGTAAAGACAGCTCTGATGTATGCCATCAGCAGCAAAAACTCCTTGTGTTCAGTAAAGCTGTGTTGTTGCTGACCCATATGAGTGCTCCCTGTGACTTAAAGAGTTTGTGTATATACATTTCAAATACAAAGAACCCCCCCATAGTATGCAGTCCCTTCCAGAAAGGGCAAGTAACAGAGATGGGATAACTCACTTCGTATTTGTCATAGGGGGAAAGGTAATTTTATAAAAGGAGCGTGAGTAGTTGCATTGTAATCCCAATATATCATTTAGCTTTGTCTTTGTGAAACTCATTTTGGGTTGGTATTTTTCTTGATTGGCCAGCAAATGTGACCTTAAGGATGTAAACAGACACAACAGAAGATATACAAATTTTCTGTCATTAAGATTATAAATATATATGTGAATATATATATATGCAATTTCATATTCTTGATCTTGCATGTATTTGCAAGAAGTCGGTTATTCTGAGGGTAAGAAGTAAATTATATGCTCTAGTGAAAACTGAATTGATTTGAGTGAGTTAATACTTGCAGGGGGGAAAAACAAACAAAACGCTGTGTGAATTTGCTGAATGTGTGCTATATGTAGCCAGTGAAGCTGTTTTCTGTGTACGATGACTTGAGATGTGCAGTAAATGAAGAAAGGGTGCAAAATTGATCTGCTGTACACAAACATTCATTTAAAAATGAATGCATTTAGATTTAAAAACAAGCAGCTGCATTTGCCTAGCCCTTCTCCGATATTAACAGAAACAAGTGATTTAACAGAAAATAGAACTGTGAAATGTTGCACAATCCGAAAGCGTGGTTTGCGTCACTTGGGTCAGGGCTTGGCTTGGAGCCTTGCGAGCCCATGTGCAGCAGGTTCTGTTCACGATTCTTTGCACGTCCAAAGCCGGGTGGTTTCGGAGGAGCCTGTGCATGAATGAATGTGAAGAGTGCAGACACCACGCAAATAATGACAATTTGCGTACATGGACTGCATAAGGCACTTTGGCCCAGCTTCCAGGGCGTACTCAGGCCTCCCGCTCCTAAACGGAAAGAAGAGATGCAGAAGGCATTTGGTATAGTTTAGTGTAGCATCACCACAAGGGCGGGGTATCCCTAAGCTTTTTGTGAGCCTTTGCAGTGGGCAAGGGACTTAACTGAAAATATAACAACTAGAATGCTTGTATCAACCTCAGCTATTTTTCAGTGAGTATGAGGGTTTTAGGCACGGAACAGGAAATTCAGGCTTACTAAAAGTTACTTAGCTCTTATTTCTAAGAGAAACAAATTTCCTGCTTTGTTTCGGTGCACACCCTGGGGTCTGCAGACAGCTTCTAAACTCACAATTTAGTGCATTTGAAAAATTCAGGGTCAGTCGTGGTTAAGGAATGTGACACTTGTGGCCCTGTAGACAATAACTTGATTTTGTGAAGTGGCATATATTTTGGAAATGAGCAATAGGAAATGATCTGAATTATAGTAAAATCTCTTTGAGAACTGAATTATTTGGCTCATCTCTGTACCGATTGCCATTATACGTCTTTGTCCAATTTTCATGCAAACAGGATAAAAAGGGTGAGGTGTCAAGAGGAGCTGTTTTGCAGCTTATCAGAAAATGGAGTTCTGAGCAGCTGGTAATATTTTCACCAAGATGAACTTTTTCAGCCTCAGGCCAGGGGTTCATCATGTAAGGAAGTTGTATCTGAGCGTATACTTCAGCAGACAGCTGGCCTGCAAAGAGCTGAGGTCTCTGACTAGTGGAGATGTCAAAACCTGTACTGTAAACCACCTTAACAGATGCCTTGCTGAAATCTTGTTGAATTCAGCAATTCTTGTTGAAATCTTGTAAGCGCTGGGACAAAAAACTTTTACCAACATTAATGATTAAGGTATAGTAATGGGATAATTGCTGACTACAGTTAAACAGCAGCTGCCACCATGCAGACCCTGAAGATTTCTCCATTTGTGGGCATTGTAAAACAGAAACTGGTTGATATAAAAGTCTCAAGGTTCAGTAGAAAACTTAGTGCAGTGCTAGCAGCGAAGATCTTCTAGAAACCTTCAGTGTCCTTAGGTTGTGTGTTATAAAGGTAAAGGGGGATGCTAATGAAACCTTTATTATGGGACAGCAGTTCATCCTAACAGCGCTCTGCTCCTTGGGCAGCATTCCAGCATCACTGGCAGGGAAGCAGATCCTCCCTGTCCCCTGCTGGTCTGGGAGGAGAACATACTGTCCTGTGTCCTGGTGAGAAAATTGGTGGCTTTACTTTGGCATTCACCACCTTGCTCGGTAATGCTCCAGAAGAAAAGGGTTGGTTGAGCAGATCTTCAGATCCGAGAGCCGTGTCTGAATCAGAGAGGTCTTGGCCTGCACTGCCTTCTGTTTCTGTGCCACTTCTTCCCCCGGCCCATCTCTTTGCAGGACCTGCAAATCCCTATCATTAGGGATTTATTTTCTTTACTATCACAGTAGGCGTGCATTCTGAGCCTGGACCAGTAAGTTTCCTGCCTTCTGCTAAATGTTGCTTTACTCTTGGTTACAATTCTTAGTTCTTATTTTTTTTTTCCAGTGGCGTGAATTACAGAAGTCATGGCCCCTTCCTGTAGTGTTACAAAATCCCTACTGGAAAGGGGGTTGTTGTACAGCTGTGGGAAGTCTTCACAGTGCTTCGTTGGGAACTGGTTGGCAGTGGTAGCTTTATCTCCTGCTAGATGAAGGGAAGAGTTTGGTGCCTGGCGTGCCAACCTGAACCTCTTGAAGCTTTGGTTGAAGAAAAGGCCTAGCGTACTGGGACTTCTGCAGAGATCCCACTTGGGCCTGTCTGCTTCCATAAGTAGATATCTGTGGCTTGCAGATGTAGGACCAGCCTGTGGCAGGCGCCCTGGGCTGCAAAGGGAAATGTCTGCATTGCTGTCTGGCTTCGAGGAAGGTGTGCTGAGTTGGACATGACGTGTGTGGGGTACCATTTAGCAGCATCTCCAACTGAGTTCCTTTACTGGGTGTGGTATGCTTCCTTCTGCTCTCCTCTGGGCTTTTCTTTTGCTCCGCAGGGTGCAGACCCTTTCCCTCACTTAAATTCTTTTCCCTCGGTCATTCATGGCCATTGCCGAGATAGCTGGGGCTGGTGAGATGCTGCCCTGGTAGCAGGGAGAGAGCTTTTACAGGTGGTGTCAGTTCTTTTGGGGACACGGGGGTGGCTGTCATAAGACTCTCGCAACAAGGAGCCCTTCTTTGAGTGTTGCAAGTTACGCTGAAGGCAATTTCCAGAAATGCATTTCCATATTTCCATCAACCCAGTTGTATTTGGATATGCAAATGGTAAAATAAACACAGCGGTATGTTGGAGTAACGTAACACTGGGCTGCACTGAGGACTCAGAAGGATATTATTATGATAAAGGCTCCATCAGTGATTAAGAGCCCACAGAAAATTCTTTGTCAACATTGTAAGCGATCTGCTGCTGTTGCTGGATGAAGGTTGGGACAGACTGGGTAGGGAGATTGCTTCTCACTTGCCATTAGATCCACCCAGCCAAAAACTTTGCCACTTGATTTCAGATCTGGAAGCAAATGGAGCTGCAACAGATTTCATACAAAGGCCCTTGCTGTCATTAGGGTTTTGTGCAATATTTCCTCTTACATGTGTATGTGCAGACTGTTTTGTTGAACAGCATGGCAAGACTTTTGGAATCAAAATTTATAGTACAAATTAAATACATTTTGGGAAGCTGACACTTGAAATGGAAATAGTGGAGGAAAATGAACATATTGAACCACCCACTTACTGCTTACTCACTCTGTTTCTTGACACACTCAGCTTCTGCTGGGCTTGCTACAGCACAAAGATTAGGAGAGCTGATCTTTCCCTTCCTAGTCCCTTGTGTTGCTGTTCATCTTTGGCAAGAATATTGTTACATGTCTCTGGACTTACAAGTCTGCAGGGAAGGAAGGGCATCAGAGATTCTCTCCTTCGGGCTTTCTGGTCACGGGCAGCTGTTTAACATCAGTAGGGAATTTGTCTCGTGACTATATGTGTAATACTTTTTGTTCAATAGAAATAATTTTGAGAGAGAAAAGACAGGTGTTCTGGGGCCTGGTTCTTAGAAGCTTTCTGCAACTGACTGCTCCCCCTGTCTACTCTGAGAAAAGGCAACTCGCAAGAACAGCGCACACTGCTCACATTTAAACTGAGCTGAGGTGAGCTTGAGTGATACATCTCTTCCCAGATGAAAATGCTGGACACTCAAATGTGCTTGGGTAAGATCAAGGCCTGCCAAGTCAGGCACTCAAAGTGTAGGCCCTCACGTGCAATTATGTTTTTTGAAGAGAGGTCAGGAGAATGCTTACATGTTAGCAAAGCAACTTACTTTTTCCCAGCTCTGCTCTTCAAACTGCTGAATTATTCTGATACGTCTTAATTGTTTTTTCTTCTTTAAGTGCAGGCACCTGATATGGAAAATTTCAGCTCAAAGAGTTGAAATCTGGCAAGTGTATAGCAACTGAAAAAAAAAAAGGCAAGCTCTTGCTAATGAGTAAAATTAGCAATAGATGGTTTTATCAGCTTGGCCTTCTGAACATACAGTTCAAAGAGCTAAAAACATTCCCTCAGCACTCTATATTTGGTCAGCATTTACCTAACAGCAGACTAATCTGCTGAAAAAATCTCAATGATGGTCTCAAGCATCCGTTTGTTTTCTGTTTCAGTTCTCTCCCAGGCTGTGCAGGTCAGGCTGATACCCTTGTATTCTCGCTTTCATGAGCAATGTATTTGCTATGAGATTATAAAGCTTTTACATACTAAAAAAAAGTATGGAATAAGAGGCATCTAAATCAA